TCTGGTAGAACCGTTCATTTCTGAGATTGACATTCCGATTGCTGACGTTAACTTCGATCTGACCCCTTGGATAGAGAAGGGATACAGTGTGGGTGTGCTGCGTCAGAATGAGATGGCTTGGTGGTTTCTGTTTGACTGCTTGAAGAAAGACAGCCTGAAAAACATGGCTAGACATGCTGGTTCCCCCTTCAAGGCATTCCGTGCGCTCAAGGATCACTTTCTACCGTTGAGCCAAAGCCAGATTCGAGTGCAGGAAGAGAAACTGAAGTCACTTAGCATGCGTTCCAACGAAAATCCCACAACCTTCTTTGCATCCATCAGAGAGACGCTTGGTGTGCTGCAGATGCTTGGAGTAAAGAAGGATGACAGAGAGGTGTGCAATCTGATGCTTGAGGGGCTGTCGCCCGAGTACAAGACTTTGCGTGAGATTCTTGTGGTGTTCTGTTCGAATGACCCGTCGTTCATCGAGACTAAAGTGCGTGAGCGTTACCTGGACTTGCTAGCACAGGGTGGTTCCAAGAAGCAGAGTAGTGTTGCTCTGGTGTTTAGTATTAATAGTGTTTGTGACTGCTGACAGTGAATTTTCCGTGGAGTTCAAGAATGTGTTGTACTCTCCAAACTTAGGGTATAATCTCTTTTCTCCGAGTGCAGAGTTTGATGGCGAGTCATGGAATGGTCTTGGTGGTCCTGATGGTGTGATGACTGCTTTCAATGGACAAGTAACCTTTCAGAACTTCGATGGCATGCTGATTGCGTCTGCGTATCGTCTAGGAGAAGCCTCTGTTGGCACGGTGTTGGCTGCTCTCACTCCCGCAAACCCCAAGCATGAAACCACGATGGATATCAACGAGTTCCACAACATTTACGCTCATTCGCACGAGGGTTTGCTTCGCACTACTGCAAAGCGACTAGGTACCAAGTTGGTTGGTGACATGCATGCTTGTTCAGGGTGTTCGATGTCAAAGGCTATTCGAAAAGGAATCGTTGGAGAAACAAAACGTAGATCGGATAAAAAGTTGGGCAGAGTTTTTGTTGACCTGGGAGGAAGGAAGGACATTGCGTCCGTAGGGGGTAAGCATTATCCCATGATTGTGAAGGATGATTTCACGAGACGTACATGGATTTGTTTCCTGAGAAATAAATCAGACGCTGGCAGTGCATTCCGGACTTTTCTTGCGAGTGTGCGTGCTAATGGTGTCCCGTCATTCGTTGAGATTGTTAGATCTGACAACGGAGGGGAGTTTTTCGGGGGGGAGTTTACATCTGTGTGTAATGAGCTCTTGATCAAGCAAGAGTTCACACCGGCTTATAGTCCGCAATATAATGGTGTTGCAGAGCGTGGGCTGGGATTGATAGAAGAGGCCGCGATGGCGGCTCGTATTCAGGCTAAAGTTCTTTTTGGGCATGTGCAGTTACCTAAGACTGATAAACTCTGGGCTGAGGCTATGCACTGGGCTTGCGAAGCGATGAATCACACCGCGTGTTCTGCTAACCCCGACTCTATGTCGCCGTATGAAATGTGGTATGGTGAACCTCGTCCCGCTAGACCGTATCCGTTTTTGAAGCCAGCGTACTGCAGGTGGCAGCGACCGACAAAGCTGCTGCCGAAGGGTGAGAGTTGCTTTTATGTCGGTCCTTCGAGAGACCACCCGCGTGATTGTCATAGAGTACTTACGAGGGCTGGGACTATACAGGAAACGAGGGATGTGACGTGGGAGGTGTTGCAGTCACAGCTCCCTCCGCTGCAACCTTCTCTGCCAATAGAGGTCGCAGAGGAGGGAGGGGAGGATAGTGACGACAATGTTGAAACCGAGGTATGGCCGCTTGTAGGAAGAGGAGTTGCTCACACACTTTTGAAACGTGATGCAGTGCCTTCTGGTGCGAGAGTCGAGGAGGTTGAGAGTGTTGGCGCAGGAAGTGTAGGCCCATCATTTTCTGTTCCATCTTCCCCTGCTGAACCGTCGTCCCTCGCGAACAATTCTTTTGATAGTGTAGCCTCTGTGTCTTCTCCAATGCCTGTGAATGACGGGGAAGGCCAGGGAGGGCAGGAATCAGGGGAATTAGAGATGGGGGATCCGGGAGGGGATGATGAGGAAGAATCGATGGAACAGGGAGGGCATGATGATGAAGAGTCGATTAGGTCGGGAGGACCGGTAGAGGCGGAGGCACCCCCTCCAGCCGCTCGTCGTCCGCGGCATGTGGCCGAGCTTGCTGACTTTAATACTGCTTCGCGTGAGAATGATGAAGTGAGAGAAGGTAGGACTCGCGCGCAAACTCGTGCAGTCAACCAGCAGAGTGTTCCGGGCCTTGTGGCCAGCCTAGGACCCATCTCCGCTACGGAGTTAGTGTATACACTGATGTCGGAGCAGAGAGCAGGTGATGAGACGGAATTGCCGAAAGAACTGGTTCAGGATGTTGAGTCAGTACCTGATAGTTATCAGGAAGCCCAGCGTTCAAAGTACGCAAAGATTTGGGAGGGAGCCATGTCTGCTGAGGTTGAAGGCTTGATAAGAGCAGGAACGTTCACGTTAGCAGCAAAAGTCCCGATAGGCTGTAATGTGATAGATGCTAGATGGGTTTTCAAATGGAAAGCAGACGAAACAGGAAAGATAGTGAAGGCCAAGGCTAGGCTTGTAGCGAAGGGCTTCAAGCAGAAGTATGGTGTGGACTATCTTGAGACTTTCTCGCCTACCGCAAATGCTGCATCTCATAGATTGGTAGTGGCGTTGGCGTGCAAGTACAACTTGGAATTACTCCACTGGGATATTGAACAAGCATTTGTTCAGTCGGAATTGGATTACGAGGTGTTCATGAAGTTGCCTCCTGGCTGTGGTTCGATGTCAGGAAAGGTTGTCCGTTTGAACAAGAGTTTGTACGGATTGAAGCAGGCATCTAGAACATTTTACAAGAGGCTGGTGTCGGAGCTGAAGAGGATTGGTTTCGAGCAGTCTATGTCTGACCCCTGTGTCCTGCGTTTCATGATGGGAGACGAGGTAGTGGGGATGGTCGCAATTCATGTGGATGACATTCTGTATGCAGGAACGAAGAGTCTGGCTGAGGTGGTAGTGGCAGCACTAGGTGACTCTCTTCCCACGAAGAATTTGGGCGAGGTCAGGTTCTTTCTTGGTTGCGCATTCGTTCGCGACCGCGAGGCTGGTACGATTGAGATGTCTCAAGAGAGTTACATCAGGAGTGTTCTTGAGAGATTCAATGTTTGTCGCACCAGCTCGATCCCTGCTTCCCCTACTAACGATTACAGGTCCGTGATGGAGGATGAGGGGGCAGGAGATGTGCCGTTCCGAGAGGTGGTGGGGAGCCTGATGTGGATCGCCAACCAGACGAGGCCCGACATCTCGAATGCTGTGCGGGCGGTGGCAAGGCACTCTCACGAGCCAAAGAAAAGTCACTGGAAGGCTGCTCAGAAGATTCTAAATTATCTTCTGGAAACGGCACATCTAACTCTAAAATTCAAACCGGATAATTCAGTAGACGCAAGCACATTAGTGTACGTAGATGCTGATTTTGCGAGCAAGGCCAACGACCGTAGATCAGTTTCGGGAGCAATAGTGCTTGTGGCTTCGATGCCTGTGGTTTGGATTTCTAAAACGCAGAAATGCGTTTCACAGTCGACTTCTGAGGCAGAGTATCTTGCGATGGGTGACGGTGTAAAGGAGGCTCTGTTTGTGAATGGAATGCTTCAGTTCCTGAGACCTAGTGCGAAGCCTCGGAAGATAGACGTCCTTGAGGACAACGAAGGAGCGATTGCGCTCGCAGAGAATCCGCTTAGCTCGAGTAGGAGTAAGCACATTGATGTGAGGCATCACTTCCTTAGGAATTTGACAGAGGAGGGTGTTATCGAGGTTACGCATGTCCCAAGCGAGGAGCAGCATGCTGACATCCTCACGAAGGCTTTGCCGAGAGACCTTTTTGAAGTTCACCGCGACTTTGCATTAGGCTCAAGGAAGTATAAGTCTGTTTTTTTTATTTTTTGTTTGTTTGTTTTGCTTTCATACATGCGAAGTAAACGTATTTGGTCTGGTAGATACAAAGGCCCCCTAGGGAGGGTGTTCGTGGTAGCGGCCTTATGTATCGCCTGAGCTACGGTAGAACATCTGATTGGATATTTTTAATTGCAGAACTGTCGATCGTAGGTTGTCATGCCGAGTGTTCTGCGAATATTCTTTGTGGTAGTTCGGTAGATTGTACACACGTAAGGATCGTACAACGGACCGTAGGTGTAAGTCGGTACGTTGGTATGTGGTACGTTGGACACTTGTCCAGTAGGAACGTTCTAGCATTGTCGCTAGAGGTCGGGCTTACGGGTCATTGTCGTGTTCGGTACATTGCTTTGTGTTCCGAGTGTGCATCTATCCGGAGGAGACGTTGGGAGCTGGGAGCATCACGCTCGCCCCCTGTCCTCACTCCACTTTCCGACCTGTCTCTCCATACCTAGGTCTCACTAATACAATATTCTTCTCCAGAAGCCACTGATTTACCAACACCACCATGCACAACATACTGCTGCTGCCATTCACCTGTCGCGTTCCACGTCTACCTGTCCATGACACATGCTGCCACTTGATGCGACAACATCTTGGAACAACACGGACACAGGGAGTACCCCGCCTACCCATACACGACACCGTCAAAACTGCTTGTAAGCTAGAACAACCTCTCATTCCTCTCTTTCCACATTCATACTTTCTTCGCTTTTTGTCTTTTTCTCCTTTCTGTGCTGTAATAGATGACCTTGTCTCTGCTTGCGTTGTGATGTACCAAGATTGAACCAAGGGGTTGTACCTCATTCTCTCCGGCCCGTGATTGGGACTCCTAGTCTCAGTTGTTACCTCGTATAGCGCGCAGAGGGAATGGAGGACTCCATTGACTTGCGGACCCCTCGGGGCAATTTTATTTGAGTGTACCTTATTAGGGTAAGTCGACCTGCGACCACGGGGATCGACCGCGTCGAGTGTTGGAATCAGTACGGACATACGAAGGCACTGGGTAGAGAGAGATCGGAACGGTTTTAATGTGAAGACAACAACAACAACAACAACAACAACAACAACAACATACAAATGATGTAGATGCATGAAATGATACACTGTCTTTACTTATGGTCCGCTCTGCCTACAAATAAATGGGAAAGGTAGCTATACCTTCTGCCGACACACGGGTGAGAGAGGCGACCATACCCACTGCATTTAAGACACACCCACATGTCAGTTATGAAACTCCAACCACACGCCTCTATCGGCGGCCACGTCAGGAGGCAATGGTGAGATAATGTTCTCCCGTGCCCTTCTCACATTGAACGACATGCCATTACACAACAAGGTAAAAAAATATGTTCTCCCGCGCCGCACATGCCCCCATAGATCACACACAAAAAATAATATGATGACGAAAATATACACACCCCGAAACGCGCTTACTCCTCAACCATGTAAGAGTGCTATCGTAGAACACCCGACAAACCGAGGTCCCCTAAATCTTCCGTCTGCAACTTCCCAACATAACACACAGATAGATACACAAGATGGCTACCAAACTGCCATGTTGAGCCTGTTACCCACAGGGGAGTTATCGTTGTATGCTGTCTGGGAAACCGTAAGACATACAGGTAGCCTTCCGCTCACGCTATGGATTCATTGCTACGCTTTCTTAGACTTATTTCTATAGATAGAGATAAATTTGTTGTGTGATATTAAGAAAATAAAAATAAAAATTGATAGAAAGAAACGAACAGCTACCGCACCGACAGTTCGAGAGCCCTCGGAAACCGATCAAAATAAAACAACAAAAATTAAGGAGGACGCTTCCCACACCCGCCTAAAGAAAAAACCAAAGGGTGACGTACCAGCACCAGGCACTACGCACCAGGGCATGGGAGCAACGGAGCAAACAGGACAAAGAGGCGGCAGATGGGCAGACAGCCAGATGTACAAAACCAAAAGCAACAGCAGCAAAAGCGAGATCAAGGTACCCAACACAGCAGAGTAGGCAGGGAGGACATGAAAAAAGAAACACAGCACAGAGGGCGAAGGCAATACAAAGGACATACATAGGAGTAAAGCAGGGAGGGAAACAGGGCGCAACAACATCAGCCGGGTACATAGTTCGCCACAAGTGCTGCCTCGGCCGCCCTACCCGCTTCTACATACAGCAGTGCCCGGTCGCCGTTTCTTCCCCGCTTCCCCGACTCTCTTTCTCTTCGGTCCTCAGACGGCCGTACTCTCTGCTTCTGCTTCCCTCGCGCGCTGGCGCTTCGCGGACGCTTCCGCCTCCTGCCTGCGCCATTTCCTCATGAGCCATGCCACCCCGTCCTCGACCTTGTTGTACCACACCTCCGGGTCCTTGGCGCTCTCTTTCCATTTCCCCCCTTCCTTTTCGTCTCGCATGTTGAAGGCCACGAGGTCCTCTCCTATACAAGACACTCAGTCTCCTGCCCGCCCAGGTATCCCACGCCCCCCGCCATCGCTCCTAACAGCATGCGCTTGGGGAGGCGGTTGTCCTCCATGCGGATAACAAAGCCCGCCAAACACAGTCTCCGTTTGCGCACGGTGGCCTCGATGGTTTCCTCGCAGCCTGCCTGGATGAGGGCCTGGGCATTGGACAGGGGGCGGTCTGAGCGTTCCCGCTTGCTCCAGCCGATGCACCGTGTGAGGAAC